TTTTTTTTGTAAGAAGAAAAAAGTCTCGTCCCAGATTAAGGGGCGACTCGCCGCCCACCATCACCGCCGCCCCGCCCCTTGAATGATAAGGAGGCAACGGCACCGGTGACCTCTTGTTTTTCCCATGTGTTCTTATTCGGAAATATTATACTGAAGCCCGAGTCGCGCGGCACGGATTGACTACCGTCCTGCGGGCCGTCTGCTTCGTTTGGCATTGCATGGAGTTTACGGGGACGGGGGGCTTCTCGAAATTCAGCAGTCAGCTTCATTCGTCGTTTCTTTCGTGCTGAGTGAAGAAGGTAGTGCGCTTTTGTGCCCTGTTGGGTTGGTATGTAGTTTCTTGAATATACTACCCAACTCACAATGAAAAAGACCGAAAAGTGTGGTAAGAGGTGTGTGCTGCAGCGCTTTGAAGTAAAGTAAGCATGTTGGGTTCTGTCGAAGTCTCGGCGGTCACCGCGATTCTTGAGACGTATCCGGGACCTAGAAGCTCGACCAGAAAACCTGGGAGTTACTTGAGCGCTGGAATTTCATAAATCATGAAGTACACCAGAGGACTTTCTTTTTCCAACAAAATACTTGGGATTGCATGCGCTTATCGTATGAACACGACGTCTCTTTTTTTCTTGCTCGCGACAACTTCCTTTACTCCAACACTATTTGCTTCCACCACTACTGATTACGACAACGACACTGCCTGCCTCCTACTCCCCTCCGACCCTGATCCTTCATCTCCTCGTTGCATTCTCCTTCCCTTCTCATCCTCGCCCAATCCGTAACAGTGTCGTTAAATGTGAATATGATGAGGGGGTGAAAACGTGATGACGACTGTGACTAATCAAAAAAGATGGATGGCGGGTCATCTCATTTGGGGTAGAGAACCAGGCCCTCGTACTGCCTGCTCTTAATGCTCTCGAGGATGTGGTAGAAGTGACGCTTGCTGTTCTCGACCGAGGCCGAGTCCTGCTGGTTGCCGGCGAGGTTCGAGTGGATGAGCTCGATGAGGCCGTTGAGGTACTTGGTCGTGACCTGCATCGATGTCAGATCGGAGCTCGCCGCCGTTTTGGGGGTTAGAGGGGTGCGACTTACCGACTCGTTTTGCTGGTCAAAGTAGTAGACATATCGGTCGAGGATCTCGACGAAGAGCTCGATGGAGGTGGCGGTCTCCATGCAGGAGTCAGCGACGCGGAGGGCTCGTTGGAGGCACTCGAGGACTCTCTTGCCATCGCGGTACAGCTGGGATGTGTCAGTCAAGGTCGTCACATGTAGGGCAGGGGCACTTACGCCAGTCTCGTCTGCCTCGCCGTTGGCAGCCATGGGCGTGGCCCACCATAGGTGACTGGCAAGGTAGACGGCACGGCACTGGTCAGGCTTCCTCAGGAGCTTGCTACCGTGCTGAGCGCACTTGGTGATGAGAGTGTCGTAGTTCTCCTTGCCAAAGTTTCTTGTCTGGTGCAGCGCCGTGGCAATGACGCAGACCGCCTGGAACTGCGCCTTGGAGTCTGTGATGGCCTCCTCATACACGGTGAAGGCCTGTGCAAAGAACTCGTATGCAACCTCCTCAAACCCAGTCATGTCGGCTGTCTGGCCGGACGCGCAGAACAGGCGGAGAGCCAGTTCGGCCGCGCCGGCACCGTTCACGCGGGTGTACAGAGTGCTCAGGGCAGAGTGCATAAACTTGAAGAGGGCGTTGCTCTGAGTCTCCCAGTTGTCTTCATAATGCTCGCGCAGCTTGAAGCGCCGCGCCAGTTTCATGCAAGCTGTGATGAGGGGAGGTGTTGTTGTGCGGATTCTCTCGTTGCCTTCGGAGTACGCCTTACGCGTCATCTGCAACAAGCGGAACTGTGTGTCATTATCCTCACCGTTGATGAGATGGACAATTCTGGCCAGCCAGCCTTGCTCCTCCAACGTCTCGTCGGTCTCGACATTACGGCGCTGTGCCACGCCGGGGTAGTTGTTTGGCGGCTGAGAGCCCTCCTTGATGAGCACCTTTAGCACTTCTAAGACGTTCTCCAGCTGGCTGGGTGTCGCGATGCGCGTCTGATGTTGAAGAAGGGTCCTAGCCACTTCGCCAGCCACCGCTCGTCGAGTCGGGTATGATTGCGATTGGAATAGGGGAACGTAGGTAGGGAGGGAGAGGGCAGTGAAAATAGAGAGGTATCGGTTGAGGGGGGCTTGGAGCAGGGCCAGGAGGCTCTGCTGGGCCTGGGGAGAGTGCAAGTCTGCGTTGTTCGCGTTCTCCCTGACCTTGATAGTGGCGTAGTCGAGGATTTGGTTGACAAAGTCTAGCCTCTCGGGGTAAATGTTGAGGGCCAGGTTTGTCAAGGAGCACAGCAGGGCTATCGTGTCCTGAATAGGCAAATGTTGCGCCTCAACGAGGTTCTTGACTTGGCTAAAGAAGATCTCGTAGAGCTGGACATGCTCCGGAATGCCCTTCTCAGGCGCGCTGCCGTCCCCATTAACGGCCGTGCTTTCGGTATCGGCGACGGACGGTGTGGGCTCTGGCGGGGGAAGATCTTCTTGAGCACGCGCCTCGTTCTCGCTGGTCTGCGGGTTCGTATGGGCTCCATTTTCGTCGAGGTCATCCAGTTTCCTGACTTCGTCTCCGGCTTCTGATGGCGCAAGCGTGCTAGCCGCGGCCGACTGGCTCTCCTTCTTTAGATTTGTCTTCTCAAGCAACTTCACAAGGGCTTCCTCCTCCACCTTGGCTCTGTCATCCTCGGTCTCGTCCTTGGATTCGCGCTCGGCGTAGTCCGACAGGCGGTCCATCAGGCCAATGACGATGGCCTTGACGTTGACGTGGGGGTTGAGGCGTGACACGGCCCCGAGGAATTGGTCAAGGGTGTGAAGGTGGAAATCGTCGGGGAAGACCTGGGTAATGACCTCGAGCAGATATTCCTGGGCCAAAACATCGCGGCACTGCACCACCTGCTCCAATAGGGGCGCCAGAATGCCAGACTTGTAAGTCTCGAGGTCTACCAGCTGGCTTAGTCGCACAATGTTGCTTCCCACCAGCAGCTGCAATTCCTTTCTTTCTCTCGTCCGTTGTTCGCGTTCGCGGGAGTGGCCCTGGTGCTGCAAGCGCACCCAGAGCTTGTTCATCTCGACAAAGTTGGTGAGAACGAAGTTGATTGAATCGGACAGGTTTCCCTCTGGGCCATCACCATCGCCCGAGGGGAGGTAGTCTCTGGCCTGGCCAGACAGATAATACCTCAAGAAGAGGCCGCGGATCGGGTGTTGGACACCTCGGCTCATGTCCATCATGTCCTTCATCAATTCCTTGACGGGCGCATCGGGGATGGACATATAGGCGGTGCCGACGGTGATCATGAGATACATGCGCGGGATGATGTTTCCAGCATACTGGACGAGCTCGTAGAGGTCGGCGAGGTGGTTGACGGGGTGGTTCTCGCGGAGGTGGACTGACAAGTAGCGCAGGGCATCGAAGACGGCCATGTAGAGTTCGTAGTACTGCTTCGGACCCAGACTGCTGGTGCGCAACTCGGAAACGAGGGTCGAGCTATGCGCCAAGAAAGATATGGTCAGCATTGGCCATTGAAGGGTATCGCGAGTGGGAGCAGAGCTCCGGTTGAGCTCCCGGGGATCCGGTGATTGGGGATGACGTACCAGCACTTCAAAGCATCCATCAGCTTGCTTGGAGTGTCGAGGCACTTTCGCATGAGGGCGGTCTGCTGGCGCACTGCAACCAGGGCATCCTCGAGGAGACGTGCCTGATCCTCAGGCGGAACGGGAGTCGCAGACATGTCGAGGTCGAACCGGCGGGGTAGCTATCGAGGCGACGTAGGGGGTCTGGAATTAGTTCATGGAGGAAGAAGCAACGAGGGCCTCGGAGGTACGGTAGGCGACGGCAATGGGGATCGAGACAATTGCGCGGCTGGGATTGGGTGGCGCAAGCTGATGGTGCGTCGTTTGGCGCGGCTGGGGATGGTGGAGGACGTCAGCGGATTGAAGGGAAGAGGTGACGACGGTTATCGCGAGAGTTGGCTGCTTGTGCTTGGCTGCTGGCTGAGGTGCTTGCCTGGGAGAGGCAGACGGGATGAGGTAAGGTCGGGCTGTGCAGGTGCTGCGGCGCTGCTCGTGCTGCTGTTGCTTGGGTAGGTAGGTAGTAGGTACGGATAGGTACCTATGCTGTGCCTGCTATGGCCTGTGACTGTGGCACATAGCTCTGTCCAGCTCGGTGCCAGCGCTGTCGGGTGGCTAGTGTGTCGGATTATCGGGCTGCCTAGATGCGAGATTATGTAATGACGGAATCCACCGACAGGAGAAGGCCTTATGTAAGGAGATCCCCCTCGGTGCCTTACATAAGATGATCACGCCTGCACGTGATCGGCACGCTGCCAAGGCGGGGCACTCGCCGGAAGGAGGAGCTGTGACAGACCTGCGCTATCAAGGTCCACACTCGAGTCCCCGGCTCGACATCCATGTCAACCCATTCCAACCGCCTCTCCAACTGCAGCCCACGCAGCGGCCCCAGCTCCAGCGTCTTCTCCGACCTGCTTTATTAGCCTCGTCTGGTCTCACTCAGCAGCTGCTTCACGGTCCAAGGGTCTCGCTGGGAGACACGAGATATTTCAAACCTCATGACGGAGTCAACGGAGTCATTTAAAATCTAACACGCAAGCTACCCTACGCTAACAACCTACCTAGGTTCCGAATGCCCTCGGAACGGAACACCTTGGGTTTCGTTACTCGTCGCATTGCACTGCGCTGTTGCTCTGCCTGCAGCTACGCAAGACCAAACGCCCACAAACGCCAGCCAGATTCATTCGTTCTTCTCCGCGTTCTCTCCAATTATTCTCCCCCCAGCCCACCATCCCCGCAGTCAGTGGGATGGGTTCGTTTCCACCGAATCCCCGAAGTGGCCAAAGCACGCCCAAAATGCAACTCGCCCCCCATCGCTTTCCTTGTCCCAACGCCAACACCCTCAATGCCAAATGCAAATGCAGTTCCCCGGGTGGTCGACCGGGCAGTTTGGTTCTTCAAGCCGAGGTCGATGCCTTCGCGGGAAGATTGCAGTCTTCCCGCAGGAAATCGACCAGCGCTGTGTCGATGGACGCGGAGAAGGCCGCGAACAGCAACGCTGTCGACGTCGTTGGCGCCCCGAGGTAGCGCATGTGGGGGACGACCTCCAGCTCCGTAAGGCCTTCGACTGTCTTCAGATCCGCAATCCACTCCATGCTCTCGTGCTTGATGAGACTCAACAGCCTGAGGTCTGACACCTCAAGCTGGCGCCCGCCTTCCCACGCGTTCTCGGCAGGCTTGCCGCCGTCCACAACCACCCGCAGCTTGGGAATAATCTTGTCCAGCCTCCGCAGGTATTTGCACATGTTGGACCAATCCGACCGGTCGCTATCCGTGAAATGCAATGGGCTCGCCTTGCGGATTGTCACCTCTCCAATCATGGCCCGCGACCGCGGTGTCAGGTCTTGGAGAAACGGCACAACCGCCTCGATATCGCCGTCAAAGTCGAAATTGTGGAGGCCGTACAGCATATGGCTCGTCTCGCGGTGGGCCTGCTGGTTGACGGCCATGATTGCGGTATGCATCTTCGTCTTCGCCGCCAGGTGGTACGTCGTCTCGAAGCAGGTCCGTTGAAAGGATCTCTGCATTACTCGGTATTTCGACCGGTTATACGTGCCCAGATTCCCTGCGAATAGCTGGTGCATGGCTTTGTTGCGGATCGCAAGTTTCTTTTCGCCTCCGTCGTCCAGGAGGTGCTCGTAAATCATCATGCGAATCTCGGCGGGAATCCGCATCAGCAGAGACTGTTCTTCGTCCATGTCGTGATTGGTGTTGAGGCTGACGTTCACGACCTTTGACTCGGGGGGACAAATTGAAGAACCAACAAACTGCAAAACAGCGATAACGGAAAGCATAAAAGGCTCGACGATGAGGGACAGAAAACGAGGGATAGCCCGGCAGGCGCTGGCTAGGAGCCATCAGCTGGTCTTATGGCATCTTTTCCCCTGCGACCTTCCTTTCCGAATTGAGTGTAACACGCGTTCCGACAGGATCCATCAAGGTGCTGATGCTGCCTCTTGGCTGAGAGACCGGTGTCTGCAGAGCCACCGCAGCAGATCCAAATCAGCGCGAATTCGAACGGCGCAAACGCCCCTTGGGCCAATGACAACTTTGCTTTCTTTCATCCTCTGCACCCTGTCGCATATCGCCCAACGACTGTGCCGCATGCAACATGCTCGAGTTCCCGACCTTGGCCTTCAAGGTCCCTGGTCCTGGGTCCACCTCCCTGCCTTCGACTCACGGTTGGAGACGTGCAAATCATACGCTACTACAAAAGTGCCAACCAACAAAAGTAACACGCTCGACTTGCACCAGAACAAACAATTGAGTCACTCGGGGATCTGTCTTGCTTGAGCAGACGCATCTCCACCAGAAGCGCCTGCCTGTGATTACGGCTTACTGCTAACAAGGGCGCGGATAAGCAGCCCCAGAACCACGCTCCCCTTAGCGTCTATCGTGGACGCTTAACGGTCCAACTTTCTCACCCACAACGGCCTAGCCCACCTCAGCCTGACCAGCTCAGTCTTCATTCGCTGCCCGCGCTCCGGACGGCACGCGTCCGGGGCTCCATACTGGTCAATAACGGGGGCGCCCGGACGCTCCTCCGCCTCCACACTCAGCCTCCAAGGGTCCGATACCCTCCGGCCGTTTTCGCAAGTCAGATGATACCAAGGCGGTAATCACCTCAGCACTTGTGTCAGCCTGGCTTTCTCACTGGTGAAGATCCAATCTCACTCGACGCCCTGCGCTTATCTTGAAATTTCTCGTAGCATGCGAGTACTGGAGGCCGAGATTCATGCAGGTCTCACATGCAGAGGCGGCAGATCAGCCAGAGATAAACGACGAACAATGCCACTCGGCAACAAGCATTGAATCATTTTAATCTTGCTTGCTGAATTATATGTGACCAACATACGATATCAAAAGGCACGAGGTTGCACGCCAGGTCAGCATTGGAGCGGCTAGGGGACATCGGTGATGTTGTGCATGAGAAACAATGCAAGCCGATACGACTCACCGTGGACCTACCACCAGTTTCTAGCTGGCTGGCGATCAACTGCCATGATTCAAGCTCATCGTTCGATGGTTTGGTTTTTTGTTGCAATCAACCCGGTCGTCATACGGAGTGTGGACCTCCCATGAAGGCTCTGCCGCGGTTATCACCTCGGTGTCGGTCAACCGGAAGCATCGAGTCGAGTCAATCCCAAAGGCAAGAAGCCTCATCATCACAGCCGGCTATGAGCTTCGATCTTTGGCCTTCACTACATCATCTTGCAGAGGATAATTGGTACCACATCCGGGAAGATGTCCTTCACACTGGAAGGAAAGGCGGCATCTGCTACCGTTGATCAAATCAGGCACAGCCTCCGGAACTTGGCCGCAAGCTGAGCCAGGAGCAATTTAAGCATCTGAGAAGCTTTTCCGGCCTAGCATAACTGCTCGATCGGCCAGTATTGAGGCAAGGCCTCCGTGATGAGCAACAGAAACGACGTACGAAGTCAAGCAGCATGCAAGCAGCATTCTTCTTTCTCAGCTCTGGTTCCTGAGTAGGGATTGTCTTCTCTCCAACACTCTGAGAATAAGCTATCAACGTAAGCCACACATGCGGCGCGTGAGAGTGCTCCAGAGGAGCTTCCGCAATCCCGGTCGAGACCTGCATAAGCTTACCAACCCCCCTTCTTATGGCCGGTTTGGACCAACCGCAGGAACACACAGTCTGATCGCCTATCCTCACTTGGCATCTTGGCCTCGCACTAGAGGAACCTTTTATCAACGACAGTGAAAGCCCACAAGGCCGACCTAATTGCCCAGGTACTCAATTAAACAGCTTGTATCCTGCTCATGCGAGCCAAGAGTACCGCAACTCCCTTCGGTGGATATGTAGCAACATCATCACTACCTCAGCAAACAGGCTCAGCGGCACTTCGGGTTGATGATCATTTCAATGTTGATTAGGTTTATCCTATCTATGCGGCTACGCGGCTGATATCTCAAAGTCTCGCCCTCCAGGCCGAGATGCCGACTGACACGGCTAGAGCTGCTTTAATCCATCCTGCTGAACTCCGGCGCTGCATAATACACACAAGACACATTGCGTGCCAAATAAGACGTCGACAAAAGGAATTCGTTGAGGCGATTCGGCCTTTGAGATTCAAGAATCGGCCTCTTCATCTCAAAGGCCACCCCTCCTTCTCCCGGTACAACGGTGGACCTGGCATATCGCCTTCGAGTTCCACGATGCAATCCTCCTGCAGCTCTACCGGCCGCTCCATCGTCTCCATCTCCACAACAGTCGTCGAATCCAGCTGGGCGGCGTTTGGGTTGGGCGAATGCGGCGCCACCATAGTCGCGCTACCTGTCGTAGCCGTACTAGGGGACATCAGTTCCAAGCTCGTTTTGCCAGACGTCTCAGCTTTGTGAGCTGCCACCAACGCAGGCGAGGATGAGTCCGCATGCATGTTCGGGTCGGTGTTTACTCTCCTGAGCTTCCTCTTTCTCCTCCGCCAGCACAGCATAAACGCAACCAATGCGATCGCCAACGTGCCCGCCACCGACCCTACGGCAATCGCTATCGTTGTTCCGACCGAAATACCACCACCGCCGTCGCCTGAGTCGCCAGTATTCGAGCCTTCCGCTGTCGTTGTCGCCGTCGCTGTCGCAATCGATCCTCCGCTCCCCGACTCCGCGGTTCCCGTAGCGGACGCAGTCGCGCCGCTTACCCCTCCCGTCGACCTCGGCCCTGTGTATGTTGCCCCCGGAACCGTCGGATCTGTCTCCAGAATACTTAGATCCGAAGCTCGCCATCTAACCTGTATCGCATACACCAACGCCAAACGGGACGTTTGCTGGTTATTCAAGTCGTAATACGATGTCGTCGGTACTGTTGACAGACACTTGCTATACGGATAGTCCGTCCCCGTGTAGCAAGTATGTCCCGTCGGACAACACAACCGCGCCGTCTCCCCGCTCACCACGCTGCCTCCTAGCCTGACATTCCCGTCCTTTGACGACGCCAGGGACGTCGGGAACGCGCAGCCTTCGGTATATCCCATTGGACAAATGCCGGGAGAATAGTAGCCCCAGCTGTAGTCGTACGCTTGTTTCCATGACGTGGGCATGCATACGATGCTGGAGAGTGGCGGGGTCTCGGTGTTGGTCCAGTAGAGCGACTTGCAGAAGTCGGGCGTCGTGAAGACGGTCGTCAGCGGCGCCGCGCCGCGTTGTGTTGTGAGGGGATTGGGGTCTGATGTTGTCGTCATGATGGGCGAATCCTTTCGATGGATATTATATAGGTAAGGCAAAGGTAGGCGCGATTCTGATTTCCGGCGTCGCTATGATCTCGCGAGATCTCGTTCCCCGCAGACAAGGTAAACAATAAAAGGACAATATGGGTATCGATGTGTCGCTTCGGCGTAACGTCTTGCTTCCCCCAAAGCCCGAATTCACTCCATATCCCAAAAGAACCAATTTCTCTTTCTCTTCGTCGACGATATCAATAACAGTCAACAGGAATCAATGTGGAAGGATGGAGTTGAAATCGGCTTGGCGATTTTCTGCTTTTGTCGTCCACCAAAGAGATGGATCCCTGGATTGCCGGTCTCCGGTGGGCGGTTTTGGGCGTCTGGACTGTTCTCTGCAGTGGGCCGCGGGCAACGTGGGCGGCCGGGACGCAGTGATTGATATTGGGAATTTGGCGAGAATGTGTTGGCTTCGAGCGGGAGATCTTCCCCAAATCGACAATTTCGTAAGATTTCGATCTTCGAACGCTTTTCGAATGTTGTGCCCGAAAAGAGGAAGTGGGAAGGGAGAAGTGATCGGAGAAGGGAAAAAAGCACAGTCCAGGGTTTCCACGCAGAGAAAGAGGCAGAGCAAAGCAGAGTGGGAAAAGATGGATGTGGATGTGGACTGGACGGGATGGGATGAGTCTGGAAGTTTGACAATTGTCCGCGGACCGGGGAGCCAAGGGTTTCGGACGGTGCCAGTTGCGCTGAACTCTGCTTCCCACATTGGAGGCCTGCGTTGAACTTCTCTGGGTCCCTTTTTTCCGCCTGGGTCCTGTCTCTACTTTTTTCCCTCTTCGCTGCCCTTCGCCGCCGCGCCGCTCGATTCCTAGTCCTGGTCTAGCACGTTAACAGTGGGCAGAACTCTCTACTCAGAAGAGGACAAGCGCTGGCAAAGGGAATCAAATTTGTGGTTTTGGCTGGCCGCACAAGGAAAGGCAGAGCGCGAGTCAGTATCAGGCGATCAGGGGAACGCTCCACCGTGGCCCGTCATAAGTGTCGTAATAATGCAGAGGGTGTTCCCAGCAGAGTCGCTTGGCTGCTTTATCCAGCACTTTTCACAAGTTCTGCAACATTTCTGGCGAGCTCGGCTAGAGATGTGAGGTGAACTAACGGTGTTGCCGCTAGCCGCCTAGTTTCTTGTTCTCTGTCCAGTTTCCGCGCTTGATGACCTGCCCTTTTAGCGGGTGATGATGGCCTACTAAAGGCGGTTTAAACAGCGAAGCAGTGAAGATCTGCTGTGAATACGAGCTTTGCGAGCGAGCGAGCTTCGCTTGGTGTGCTGTTGACGTCAAGTGGCGTTTTTTGACAAGATGCTAGCGCCGTTGACGGATATCGAACATTTGGTATTGTGAAAGAAGACGCGCAGAGGCCAAGGCCCGAGGGACGGACGCGCTTCTGAGGGCAGCAGCCTTCGCCTAGACAAGCCGCGGATCACGATACCAACGGCACACCGCAGAGAGGGAGCAGTCCGATTT